GTGGACTATGTGATACTTGTGGACAACTTGTGATGATATTTGTCATGGTTATGGATTATATGTGATGGCTGTGTGATATATGTGATTGTTCTGTGATATGTGATATATATGTGATGGTTGTGTGATATATGTATGTGTGGATGCAATAAACAAAAAAATGCAAAAAAAGCAAATTTCCCAGCTATGCCGAGTGCAATCACCAAGACACTCGGCAAAGCTGGGAGGCTTTGCCGAGTGTTATGACCATTGCACTCGGCAAAGGCAGGGAGGCTTTGCCGAGTGCTGCCCATTAGGTACTCAGCAAAGCGACCACCTTTGTCGAGTGTAGTAGGACTGACACTCGGCAAAGAGGGCGGGCTTTGCCGAGTGCCCTCCGTCAGGCGCTCGGCAAAGCGACCCTCACCATCAATTGGCGCCATAAGGCAACTTTTCTTTGCCGAGTGGTTTACGGGCACTCGGCAAAGCCTTTGCCGAGTGCCCGACAAAAGACACTCGGCAAAGAGGCCTTTGCCGTCACTGGCTTTGCCGAGTGATCTTTGCCGAGGGTTACACTCGGCGAAGGCTTTGCCGAGTATATATGGGGATTTGCCGAGTGTCACAGGCACTCGGCAAAGAGCCTGAGTCCGGTAGTGGTGATATGCTAAGTGCCACAAACAATTGGCTGCTGGGTATCTACAATTTCAGCGTGCCTTGCTGGTGCGTGTAATGTAAGGGTTCAGCACACACACACACATATATATAGGTGTTTGTTTAAGAAATGAGGTGGTTAAATATTTCTTGATCACTACTTATTTTTTGGTTTATATAATGAAATGGACTGATCTCCATCCATCGCCACTTCATCCATTGATCTCCAATACATCACCACTTCATCCACCACAACTAATAAACATGAGGAATGAGGTTATTTCACTAAAATCATCAGTTGGATTTAGGTTGAGAAATTATAGTAAGAGTACTAAATTCATAATGTTTGTACCATTGATAGTATTTTAGTGCATCTCTAAACGGCTCTACGGCCCGTTTCTCTAACATCACACACAAATTTAGAGAACATAAAAAAAACATCCAACAAATATGTCATTCTGCATCAGTTTCGCTCTCTAAAATTGGCCTTCTCGTTCTCCGCCCTTGGAGAGGCTCCCTCTCTAATAATTACAAATCTATCAATTCCCATGTACGTCTGGAAAAAATCATGCCTGTAAAAGGCTCAGTCCAAGTGTGTTGACCGTACAAGGCCTCCAAAATTTTAGGATGGAAAAAAGACTATTCTAAAATCACACATTTTACCTCCTAAACTCTCAAAACCGCCCAAATTACCTTCCTGTCGTGATTTAGAGTGGTGTTAAAGGCGGTTTTGTCCTTCTTTTAGCTAAAATAATTGATAAACGATAAGGTTTTAAATCACAGAAAATGTCTCTAATCTTTTAAAAATCCAAAAAGGAGGTAGTTCGGATACAACAAATCCAAATAAAATATCAGAGCTCATGAAAATGTCTGAAGATGCTTCAACATAGATTTAGCTCTAGGAAAATGAAAAAGTATGAAAAAAAACTAGAAAAATTCTCAAAGCATCATAATTGATATGTAAACATGTTTTGAAAACTTTCCACAACAAAAAATGCAATACACAACCAGCATGAATGCATTCAACATTAATTTATGTTGCATTCATATTGGTTGCATCTCATATATTTTCCATGCAAAGTTTTTAAAACACTCTTATAGATCAATTAGAATGCTTCTAGAATTTTACTAGATTTGTGTGGACATTTTTGTGGACCCTAAACCCTAAACCTAGTTTTTTTAAGTCTTTAGAATTTTTATTTGATTTTTATATCCCAATCTGTCTTTAGAATTTTTTTGTAAGCTTTAAAAGGTTAGAGTCATTTTGTTGTGGTTTAAAAACTTTATCAAGTGTTTGCCAATTTTTTAACTAAAAAGGACAAAACCGTCTTTAAACCCACTCCAAACCAGGACGGGGAGATAATTTGAGCTGTCTGAGAGTTCAGGAGGTAAGACATCCTATTTTGAAGTTTGAGGAGAAAAAATAGATTATAACGTTAATTTATTAGGGAGGTAGAGTAGAATGAACTTTACCCCTACTAAAGTAGTTAGATACCTTTGAATTGAGAAAAAATAGGAATTTCAAATGATTCAATTCATATAGGAAAAAGTCCTATGATATCTTTTGGAAAAAAGGAATGCTGCCCAACAATTCCTTTCAAAAACGCCATGGATATGAGTTTCAACATCATTGTTTTGTTTCCTATGTTTTTCCTACATTGCTTCCAAAGGTATATTCCTAAACTTCAATTTGTTCTTAAATCGTATAGGATTTGAAGTTTTATAGCATTTTATTCCTATGTTTTTTTGACATTATTGCTATGTTTTCTTTCCTTTGTATTATGTAGTACAACTTTTGTTCCGAGGGGGGGCTTTAATGGGCTTTACGGCCTGCAGTTGGCCTGCTACACAAGTCTGGCCTGCACATACCGCATATGAGGTACTCCCTCCGGGCAGCTTTCTAAGGGGCGTTCTCACGTTTTTGAGCTGGGCCAGTTAGTTAGGCGCAACTTTGGTTACCGATGAGCTTTTATGCCGAGCATTCAAGTCATGTGACGGAAGACAAAGATAGATTTGACTTTGCAGGCATGAGTGATTAAAAGCTTGCTTTTTATACGCCACTTCCTCTATTATTCTGCATGCACCAATCGCAACTTTGGTTTGAGCTTTTATGGAGTGTCACGGAAGGAAGTTAATAGGAGCTTGTTTTTTATGCACTTCCCTCTATTATTCTGCATGACGCATGTTAATGGCTGCAATACCGACGCATGTATGCCTGCGCCGCAGAGGAGGAGGTCGTGCCTTGGTATCTGGAGTAAGGCCAATCTCAATCGAAATTTCTCCCGTGAATTTCATTTGCATTAAATACGTTACCATATAGATATATTTGATGACTTAGCAGTGTGGTTAAGAAGAGAGAAAAAATAAATTTTATGTAGATAAAACTCTTTTGACATAATTATCAACTATCTATAAATCATAGAATTAAATATCTATGAAACTATAGAATACAATTTTACATTAAATATGAGTGTTTTATCTAAGTTTTATTATTTTGAAAATAACGTCACAAAACAATCCGCTAAGACCGGCCTAACGGCCATGGCGCTTTACAAAACATCCCAGAGGGAGTACGACTGTACGAGCCTGCGACTCCCCTCTAACTGGCGTCAGAGGCTTACACAGTGGCAGAGTTGTTGACAGGTTTAAAGAGAATCTTTTCGTTGCCATTAAAAATTATAGCACTTTCTCCATTACCATCAAAATTTTCAAAATTCTCTCACTACCATCAAATAATTTTTAGAATTCCTTGGTTGCCACTTCTGTTAAAACCTATTTAGGTATACTCGCTGGCAACCGGGGCCCACCGTTTATCCTCCGTTAGGGTCGCCAGATGAAAGCGGCGGAAGGACTTGTTCCCAGCGCACCGTCGTCGAGGCTAGAGCTCACCCCTGCGCCACGCGTGGCCGGGCTGCAGCTCGCCCGCGCTGCCATGGCCGGGCTGCACCTCGCCCGCGCCGCCATGGCCGAGGCTCGAGCTCGCCCCGCGCCGGTGATGGAGATGCCCCTGAGCAGCCCGTGCGCCAGCGCTCCCCAACGGAGGAACAACGGCATCAGTCTGGGCCGCCACCCCGCTCTCCTGCGGTCCTGCCTCCTTGTCACGCTGGCCCGCGTCGCGTCACAGGGTCGGGGTCGCGCGGGCACGACGGAGCGGGCGACTAGGCGCGGCATCCCTGGACGAGGCACGCGAAGACACGGGCGGCGAGCGGGCGGAGCCGAGGACGCGCAGGTCAGAGCGCCAGACAAGCAGCTAGGCCACGGACATGGGGCACCGGGAGGGGCCGAGCGCGTGGCTGGGGACGGCTGCGAAGGCGCGGTGAGCAGGAGGGAGCTGGGCACGCGAACCGGAGGCGGCCAAGCAGCTCGACGCGGTCAGGAGCTCACGCGCGAACGAAACGGAACGACGGTGTTGCTAACGGCAGGTGACGGAAATGGCAACAAGGGAAACACAAAATTTATTTGACTGCAGTGAGTGAATTTTAGAAATTTTGAAGGCAACGAATGAAGTGCTATAAATTTTAGTGGCAACGAAGGAATTTTCACACAGGTTTATTGTTACACGCCTGCATCCCCAAGCTCAATATCAAGTCCGGTAGGCAAAACAAAGTGGTTTGAACATTTGTATATCTACTACTAGTACAAAATTTAATCAATGTACAAGATGTGTAACTCAAACACCATATCCTAGTTCTACAATTCACAAATTTTAAAAGATATTAGGAGTGACTTCTACGGATTATTAGAGCCGGGCTCTGCCGAATTACTCGGTGGCATCGAAGTCTAGAAAGGACAAGAAAACAAAGGTGTACTAAGCTAGTGCGTGTCAAACTAAGCAACCGTCAACGGCAGCAATCTTGGAAGTCTTCCCTTCTGATTGACCGTTTGTATGCTGGATTGGATCGACATACACGTAACACGCATCAGGTCACCGATATATATCCTCACATGCATGATCCATGGACTTGAATAGTATGGCTGCTAGTTCTAGCGGCGACCGAATGGCGCGCGGCAGCTGTACGTGTACCACCAGAAAGTATGACTCGTGGCCGGTTAGTCGTCAGTAGTACACACGACGGGTATCCAAACACACAGTGTCCACCTTCCGTCGCCGCAGCTAGTCGCAGGTGTACCTGCTGATTGATATGCGTGCCACCGCAAGTTCAAACTGTGGAATAGTGCCATAGGAATACCCAATAGATAGTCCATCCTCCACATCGAGAGGATGCATCATGCATGAATGCACTGATCGGTCGAACTCTATCTATAAAACGCCACCCAACCATGCCATGTGCCATCCCTCGGAGTCAGAACGTGTAGCTAAGCAATCGAGCCAAGACCTCTTATCCAGTAGGGCGAACTCACCGACGCCGACGATGATCCTGACGGCCTTGGCTCTTGGTCTAGCACTCCTCTGTGCCGCCAGCCCGTGCTTGGGGTTGGGGAGCGGCGGCGCCGGCGTGTCCGTGTCTAGCGTCGTCACCGAGGCGTTCTTCAACGGCATCAAGTCCCAGGCCGGCGGGAACGGGTGCGAGGGCAAGAATTTCTACACACGGAGCGCGTTCGTGAGCGCCGCCGACTCGTTCCCGGCCTTCGCGCATGGCGGCACGGAGGCGGAGGGCAGGCGCGAGATCGCCGCCTTCTTCGCGCACGTCACCTACGAGACCGGATGTAAGTCGCCGCTCTACCGCCTATATACGTTCCTTAATATAAATTGCATGGTTTGATTCGATTCCTTGACGGTGGCTTTTGCCTTCTGCGTACATATACAATACAATACATGTACGTGGCAACAGATTTCTGCTACATCAACCAGATCAACGGGAACAGCCAGGTCTCGTGCGCCCCGAGCTCACAATGGCCGTGCGCCCTGGGGAAGAAGTACTACGGGCGTGGCCCGCTGCAGATCTCGTGGAACTTCAACTACGGTCCGGCGGGGCAGAGCATCGGCTTCGACTTGCTGGGGAACCCGGACAAAGTGGCGCAGGACCCCGTGATTTCATTCAAGACGGCGCTCTGGCTCTGGATGAACAACGCGCACAAGGTGATGCCGCAGGGGTTCGGTGCCACTATCAGGGCCTTCAACGGCGCCCTCGAGTGCAATGGCAAGAACCCCGCCGCGGTGAACGCGCGTGTGGGCTACTACAAGGACTACTGCAAGCAGTTCGGCGTCGACCCGGGGAACAACCTCACCTGCTAGAGGAAGAGGAGCCGCGTTCATGCATGCATACTTGTCTGGTGAAGAATAATAAATAATACTCGGCGTAGCATACTTGTAACGGCGCCAGGATATACGTACTACTAGTAAGAATAAAAATGCAGGACTCATGAATAATGAAGCATCTGTGATATGCTAAGTGCCACGAACAATTGGCTGCTGGGTATCTACAATTTCAGCGTGCCTTGCTGGTGCGTGTAATGTAAGGGTTCAACACATATATATAGGTGTTTGTTTAAGAAATGAGGTGGTTAAATATTTCTTGATCACTACTTATTTTTTTGGTTTATATAATGAAATGGACTGATCTCCATCCATTGATCTCCAATACATTACCACTTCATCCACCACAACTAATAAACATGAGGAATGAGGTTATTTCACTAAAATCATCAGTTGGATTTAGGTTGAGAAATTATAGTAAGAGTACTAAATTCATAATGTTTGTACCATTGATAGTATTTTAGTGCATCTCTAAACGGCTCTACGGCCCCGTTTCTCTAACATCACACACAAATTTAGAGAACATAAAAAAAACATCCAACAAATATGTCATTCTGCATCAGTTTCGCTCTCTAAAATTGGCCTTCTCATTCTCCGCCCTTGGAGAGGCTCCCTCTCTAATAATTACAAATCTATCAATTCCCATGTGCGTCTGGAAAAAATCATGCCTGTACAAGGCTCAGTGCAAGTGTGCTGACCATACAGGGCCTCCAAAATTTTAGGATGGAAAAAAGACTATTCTACCTCCTTGTTCTCGAATTCTAAAATCACACATTTTACCTCCTAAACTCTCAAAACCGCCCAAATTACCTTCGTGTCATGATTTAGAGTGGTGTTAAAGGCGGTTTTGTCCTTCTTTTATCTAAAATAATTGATAAACGATACGGTTTTTAAATAACAGAATCCAAAAAGGAGGTAGTTCGGATACAACATATCCAAATAAAATATCATAGCTCAAGAAAATGTCTGAAGATGCTTCAACATAGATTTAGCTCTAGGAAAATGAAAAAGTATGAAAAAAAACTAGAAAATTCGCAAAGCATCCTAATTGATATGTAAACATGTTTTGAAAACTTTCCACAACAAAAAATGCAATACACAACCAGCATGAATGCATTCAACATTAATTTATGTTGCATTCATATTGCTTGCATCTCATATATTTTCCATGCAAAGTTTTTAAAACACTCTTATAGATCAATTAGGATGCTTCTAGAATTTTACTAGATTTTTGTGGACCCTAAACCCTAAACCTAGTTTTTTGAAGTCTTTAGAATTTTTATTTGATTTTTTATATCCCAATCTGTCTTTAGAATTTTTTTTGTAAGTTTTAAAAGGTTAGAGACATTTTGTTGTGGTTTAAAAACTTTATCAAGTGTTTGCCAATTTTTTAACAAAAAAGGAAAAAACCGTCTTTAAACCCACTCCAAACAAGGACGGGGAGATAATTTGAGCTGTCTGAGAGTTCAGGAGGTAAGACATCCTATTTTGAAGTTTGAGGAGAAAAAATAGATTATAACGTTAATTTATTGGGGAGGTAGAGTAGTATGAACTTTACCCCTACTAAAGTAGTTAGATACCTTTGAATTGAGAAAAAAATAGGAATTTCAAAGGATTCAATTCATATAGGAAAAAGTCCTATGATATCTTTTGGAAAAAAGGAATGCTTCCCAACAATTCCTTTGAAAAACGCCATGGATATGAGTTTCAGCCTGAGTGTCTTGTTTCCTATGTTTTTCCTACATTGCTTCCAAAGGTATATTCCTAAACTTCAATTTGTTCTTAAATCGTATAGGATTTGAAGTTTTATAGCATTTTATTCCTATGTTTTTTTGACATTATTGCTATGTTTGTTTTCCTATTTTTCCATTGTATTATGTAGTACAACTTTTGTTCCGAAGGGGGGCTTTAATGGGCTTTACGGCCTGCAGTTGGCCTGCTACACAAGTCTGGCCTGCGCATACCGCATATGAGGTACTCCCTCCGGGCAGCTTTCTAAGGCGTTCTCACGTTTTTGAGCTGGGCCAGTTAGTTAGGCGCAACTTTGGTTACCGATGAGCTTTTATGCCGAGCATTCAAGTCATGTGACGGAAGACAAAGCATTTTGCAGGCACGAGTGATTAAAAGCTTGCTTTTTATACGCCACTTCCCTCTATTATTCTGCATGCACCAATCGCTTTGTATGGAGTGTCACGGGAAGTTAATAGGAGGCTGCAATACCGACGCATGTATGCCTGCGCCGCAGCTAGAGGAGGAGGTCGTGCCTTGGTATCTGGAGTAAGGCCAGTCTCAATCAAAGTTTCGCGTGAGTTTTATTTATATTAAATATGTTGTCACATAGGTATGACATGGAAGTGTGTTTAAAAAGAGAGAGAAAAAATATGTTTCATCTAGATAAATTTTTTTGACAAGATTATCAACTATCTACGAGTCATAGAATTAAATGCCTATAAAATTATAGAATGAAACTAGCTATTTATCTAGACATGTAAGTTATCCAACAAGACAATACACTATCACATAGAATTAAAATCCACTAAGCAAAACCCCACTAGCTATTTATCTCAACATACAAGCTATCCAACTAGGCAAATCACTATCACATACAAATAAAATCCACTAGCACATGTAACTGCAATATTCACGTCAACAAGACAAACAAGCATTTTGTTTTTCACGTCATCATATCGCGTAATCCACTAATCCATAATCCCGCGGCAACACGTGGGGTATGCTGCTTCTAGTTAATAAATAAAGTGAGGCACATATATATGTTCATACACGTGGGGTATGCTGCTTCTAGTTAATAAATAAAGTGAGGCACATATATATGTTCATATTTTCTTCTAATATATTCTAAAATCTCTAGAATGCACTATATTAGAGGATAGAAATTATGTCATTATATAGATGAGGCAATTTATTGTTTTTGCTCAAGCCCCACGAAAGTGACTCCCTCTCAGGGAAATCTTCTAAATTGCTCACGAGAACAATCTTCTACTGTAATAAATACTCTAATAGTAGAACTCTTCTATTCTAAATCCACGCATAATGAGAATAAGGAAGAAAAAGGCCAAAGAGCCTTCTAGAGAAATAACAAAAATATAAAAAGCTATCTTGTAGACTTCGTTTGATCATGCATATGCCCCAATCCATCACCGCCAGCTAGCTTTGGAAGTCTTCCGTTCTTGCTTGACCATTTCTGCTAGCCTTTGTTGGAACACGCAGGCCAAGTCCACCAATAAATCCTCACATGCGAGGTACGTGGAATTGAAGCAGCAGTATACGGCTGCCCGCGGCGGCCGGGTAATAAGATGACGCCAATCGTCTTCGCACACGACAAAAATCACAAGGAAAGCAATGACTTCTAGCAGGTAGCATGCGCGGATTTTCCACCGAGCATTCAAGCGATGGGAGGTGGCAATCCAAATCTGATATGATATCTCAACCTAGGTTAGGTAGTGCTTGTCGATACATGAAACGTGGAAAAGTCGTACGTGCCAGTGCAATGCGTGGAACAGTCGTACAGTACGTGCCAGTGCAATGGTGGACCGGGACAGCCACTCCATCCACATCTTCCACGTCGCATGCCCTGCATCGATAAGATGCACTCTCCGAACCATATATAAACAGAAATGCTATAAAATACATACGTGCTTTAGAAAAAAATACATGGATTTTTTCTCTCTTTTTTTTCACCAGTGATCACCGGCTCCGGCGAGCTCGCCATCAGGTCTCGCCACGCCATCCTGTCGGAGCTGCAGGCGCAATGATTCCCGGCCTGGCCTCAGTTCTGATGTGTACGCGGCACAGTGCAGTGATGGATCCGGCTCCAGGTCCCTCCTCCTCCTCTCCGATTTGTGATTTGTCATTCCATAGAAAAAAAATTGTTTCTTGTGATATATGGATCTTGTGATTTGTGATTGTCTGAAAGGGTAGAAGAAGGCTGGAGGTAGAAGGAGAATGGAGGCTGTTGGATCTTAATTCTATGGTGCAAAAAAAATTTATATATTGAAACTATATAAAACACATGATTGTTGGAAAAACAAACTCTATATAAAGCGGCATCCTTATGACATCTCAAATCACCTCACAACAAGCTGCACCGCAGCAACGAACCTAGCTTAGTCAGAAGCTGAAGTACTGATCTGATCCAGTACCAGGATGGCAAACGCGCCGAGGATCTTGGCGGTCCTGTCTCTCGGGCTAGCGCTCCTCTGCGCTGCCGGCCCGGCCGCCGCGCAGAACTGCGGCTGCCAGGCAGGTTACTGCTGCAGCAAGTTCGGCTACTGCGGCACGACCGACCCCTACTGTGGTGACGGGTGCCAGTCGGGCCCGTGCCGCTCGGGCGGCGGCAGCCCTGGCGGCAGCAGCAGTGGTGGTGGGAACGTGGCTAGCGTTGTCACAGACGCATTCTTCAACGGCATCAAGAACCAGGCCGGGAACGGGTGCGAGGGCAAGAACTTCTACACCCGGAGTGCGTTCCTGAGCGCCGCCGACTCGTACAAAGGCTTCGGTGGCGGGTCGGTGGAGGGCAAGCGCGAGATCGCCGCCTTCTTCGCGCACGTCACGCACGAGACCGGACGTAAGTTGACTGAACGTCCAGTGACCACTACACACTCTAATCTCTCTTTCACAGTATCGTCGTTGATTTGACTGATCATGCTGATCAATTTTTGTAATTCTGCTGTGTGCACGGCTCGATACGAACAACAGATTTCTGCTACATCAGCGAGATCAACAAGAACAACGCCTACTGCGACTCGAGCAACAGGCAGTGGCCGTGCGCCGCGGGACAGAAGTACTACGGGCGCGGCCCGCTGCAGATCTCGTGGAACTACAACTACGGGCCTGCCGGGAGGGACATCGGCTTCAACGGGCTCGGGGACCCCAACAGGGTGGCGCAGGACGCCGTGATCGCGTTCAAGACGGCGCTCTGGTTCTGGATGAACAACGTACACCGGGTGATGTCGCAGGGGTTCGGCGCCACCACCAGGGCCATCAACGGCGCCCTTGAGTGCAACGGAAACAATGCCGCCCAGATGAACGCGCGGGTGGGCTACTACAAGCAGTACTGCCAGCAGCTCGGCGTCGACCCCGGGCCCAACCTCACTTGCTAGGCGAGTGGCGTTGGCGCGGCGGGTCCTTGCATGGCTCGTCCAGAATAAATGCTCGACGTCAAACGCTCGCGAAACATAGCGAGTACGAGCATAGCTAGTAGTAACAATAAAACGCTAGGGCTGAGCCTGTTTGTTCGACCTGAATAATGAAGCAAGGCAACTGATGCATGTTGCCTCGAAACAGTGTGTATGCTTGCAAATCGCTTGTACTTTACGATTGCAGCAAGGGTTTAAAAACTGAATCAATAAACAGTGTGTGGGCGATTACTGCTTCAACAAATGTGCTGATGAGTCCACCGCAGTTCTCTCTCATCCCCGCACACACGTATCTAGGGTAAGTCTATATCGGATCACCATTTTTGTCGTCATCTTCTACCTTTTGCTCGCCGTCGACCACCGGACAGGAACGCTTGTGGCCAACCCGTTGCTACCCTCGATCAGACAAATTAAAACCACCCTTGGGTGTGGGGGTGAGAGAAGAAGCTCCCGGTTCCATCCATTGCCGCCGGTGGCTGCTCTCTTGGCCGAATCGGCCCCTCCCTACCATAGCTGTTTTATATTGATTTGGTGAAGAAACAAGAGGAACAAGATGATTCGTGTGCCCCTATGGCCCTATGCCTCGCGCCACCGGTCCTTCGTCATGCGCCACCGTCCTTTGCGCTCTTACCGCTTGCCAGCGCTTGTGCTCACCATGCACCTTGTGTGTCACATGCTGCCGCCAAACAATGAAGGAACGTGAGAGAGGAGGGCCTAATTGCAAATTTCTAGTCATGTTGACTACTGACTTCACATGTTACGTCGGATCTTAGGAGACCAGATGAAAGAGTATGGATCTACGGTGAACTACTTAAAAAGTTTAGCGTAGCTAAGGGCCAAAACAAAGGGATATGGAACTGTGGTGAAACACTTAAAAACAAGAACCCGAAAGTTAACTTTTAGAGTTGACTAGCAAATTTGCTCATGCGTTGCAACGGAAAAAAAACTATCGAATGTTAATGGCAAACAACGACAGAAATAAGATATCTATTTATGTGGGAGTCTCACTCTGCCCCATACCCGGTGCAAAATTGGCGAGGGTAGGGGCCGAGTGTTTTCCATATGAAGGAAAAGCTGAGGATGACAGAGAACACGGGGCACAATAAATTTTGGAGTAAATGACAAGCACTTCTCTCCCTCAATAGTCGCCCCGGCTAAGTATTTATAGCATTGGGGTATTTTGGACCTAAGACGCTTTGGCTTCAACCACTCCCTTAACGTTGTGAATGCCTCCGTGGTCAGAGACCATCTTCGTCCGCTTCCCTAGGCTGCCCGCGCTCGGAAGCATGACCGGAGGTGCAAGAAGTTAGCTGCTGAGGTGCCAAGAATTGGTTTGTTCGCCAATGATTGTGGCGAAAGACCTCTCTCAATTTTTTACATAGCAAACTTCGTCAGGGACTGTAGAGATAGATTTATTTTGATGGGATTAGTCAACAAACCACTTATAAGATTTTAATTCTTGGTTTGATTAGTTTGACCATTGGTTGATTTTAATAAGAATAAGTTTTTTTTTAATCAAAACTATATCAACAAATTTGATGGTAAGAGTCTTTATTTCTTAAAGAAAGATAAATAGCTCAAAGTCTCACATTAACATATTTATATTATTTTTTATTTTTTATGTTAATAAGGAAATTAAAAAGCCACCGCCCAAAAGGAAAAAGGCAAAGAAAACAAGCTATATAAAAAAATCTAAAACACAAAAACCAAATCGGGACAAAAAACACGGAAATGTCATAGGCATGAAAAAAATTGAGAACAAAATGGAAACAACCAAGGAAAAAAAAAGAAAAAAAATCGGAAATGTCGACGGAGGAGGACACGGAAAAGAAACAAAAAAAAACAAACAGAAACGTGCACTCGTACAGCAAGACTGCGGATGTAAAAAATAAATAAAAGAATATTAGATCTTTTTCCTTTTTTTTTCTCCAATTTAGTCTTGCCCATTTGGAAAATCCTTTATAGATGTGGGAGACCCGAGGAAATCTAATTGATTTTGGATTAGGATGGTCTAGATGAAAACATGTTCATGTGCTTTCCTCTTTTGGAATTGGTTTCGACTCTCGTTTGGAATTGGTTTCGGACGCGAACTCTAGATGGAGGACGGAGGTATTTGATATATAGAGAGAGGAGAGGGGATAGGTTGCACATTCACATAGTTTGTTAGGAGGGCCAAACCAAAATAATGGTAAAAAAACGGCGAAAATTTTACCTCTTTATTATGAGGTATAGATACACCTAACTAAAACCCTTGCATAAGTGATAAGTTAATGGACATCGGATGCATTTAACTATTTCTAAATTATCAAATCTATGTATATCTAATAATAAAAAGACAAAAAAATTTGGTCCAACAACCGGCCCACTCCTACCTTTCCTCTCGCCTCAGCCCATGTTACGCGCGCCTCGTCCCGTCCTTCCTTCCTCTCCCCCGTCCGGTTCCACCGTCTCGTCGTTCCTTCAGTCCTTCCTCTCGGATGCCCTCGCTTTCCCCGGCAGGCAGCACGATGCGGCGGGAGATGCGCGAGCGGAGGCTGGAGGAGTGTCTCCTTGCTGGGAGATGGCCGGCGGCACGGGCGCTAGCCGGAGGAGCATCTCCTCGTCCTCTGGATCCAGGGCCGCCCCGTGGCCATCCAAGGCTGGCTCCATTGGCAACCCAGGCCGCCCAGCGCGGCCATAGCCGGCCGGCCGGCCGCCCGTCCCAGCCGTCGCAGGCCCCTAGGCCGGACCTCGCGGCGACCCAGGCCCTAGCCCGACCGGCGCGGCCACATCCGGCTGCCCAGCTGCCATGTTTTTCTGAGTTGCTGACGCCACATCTATGGTATGTTACGAACTCCACATTCTACATGAATTCGTTATGCTTTTTTTCTTCGGTTGGATCTTCTATGTCTATCCCTATAAGAGGCAAAATTTTTGACTATTTTTTTCCATCGCGCCTTGACTACAGGATAATAAAGAGTTTATTTGCCTGGATGACCCACAGGAGTTTGTGTTCAATGATCAATAAAGAGTCCTATTCCAATATGTATTGGATCATCTCATAAATCCAAAACAGGTGTGTCGTCCCTGAATATATGAAATACAAAGATACGTACATGGTCTGGACACTAAAGTCCGATCCATCCTACAGATGTTACATAAAAATAGTATCGGACTCAAATATATTAACATATACTAGCTACGTGACGCCAAGCTTTCAAGCTCCGTATCAGGCTTTGTGTGAAATTCTATTGAGAACTCCAAACCTATCCCAGTCAGAAATCAAATAGATTTCCTTCCGTCTTCCAGATCTACACCTAATAATAAGGAGGCATTTTTTCTATTTTTTTTGGTATGGCCTAACTAAATACGTAAATGTGAAAATTGTTTATATTCGTCTGTCTACCGCTTGAATATATGTTCTTGAGGCCTCGATAGTTAGAATCCTAATCCAAATAAATAGATCCATCCAGTGAGCACCCGAGTAGAAATTCTAATCTAAATACAAAAATTCTAATCTAAATACAAAAGGCTAGAAGTTTTATTTTTTGTTGTCCGATTAAGATTTCTTCTAGAAGAATATGTCCAATCCAAATCAAGCAACAATGGGGTATAAGAACAATGGGGTATAAGGTTTTGAGGCAACAATGGGGTATACGGTTTCTGAGGAAATAATGGGATACACTAGCCGGATCAGAGTCATAATCCGTTCCTTCTTCAATTCGAATCAGGCAACAATGGCATGCACGGTGTCATACGTATGGCTTGGACAAACCGATGTTAAGTAGATTGAATAGGATCCTAAATCAAATCCAACTAGAAAGGATACAAATAGAAATTATCCTAAACTTATGTCTTATCCTAGTCCTTCTAGGCTCTTTTGTTTTTTCACGACTTCCATATTTACTTTTGTGGGATCTGAACACGTTGCGTTTTTTTGTCACGAGGTTTCCATCCATCAGAGTCACAGTGCCGCATTCATGTCGGTTTCTTTTTTTCTTTCCTCTTTTGTTTTTAGAATTTTATGCAGTATAACGTACACACCCACAACATGTATGCACACTCACCTCTATGAGCGCCTCCGAAAGATTGAACCAACATATTTTGAGATTCACAAAGTCACCATAGGCGCCTCGCTGTTGACGGGGACGTCGCCTGCCACTGAAAGCATAACGCCGATAAATCCAGAAAAATGCGAGCACCCGTGCTAAGTCGAGGACTTGAATTCGGGTGGGTAGGTTTCACCACAAGGAATATAACCAACTGATCTATGATTGCACTTATGATTTTTGGTTTTTTCTTTCACATTTTGTTTCCCTCTTTTTTTGCGTCTTATTTTTTTCTCTCCATGTTATGCTGTCCTCCTTTTAGTTTTTTTTGCACGTTTTCTGTTTTCTTTTACGTTCAATTTCTGTTTTTTTCTTTTAAAACTTATTTCTCCACGCATGTTTTCTTCTTTTCGGTCTTTTTTCCTTTGATCTCATGTTCTGTTTTTTACTATTTTTTCATTTCCATAAATAATAATTAAAACAAATAATAAATATAGTAGTACAGATATTTGAACTCTCGATTTTCCAAGAAAAAAATCCACCACCATGATGTTAATAGTTTTAATTAGGAATAATTTTTTTTGTTATTATAAAGGTCATAGCTAGCACTCAGACGTCCGAACGAGTGATTCATAGATCGATCGATGGGTCGATGCGTGGGATTTTGGTGGTTTAGCACTCAAGACACAAAGGATGACCTGGTTTGGGCGTTTAAGCCCTATGTCTAGTAGTGAGTGACTCATGTTAGAATGCTCAAGCAAGTTCTTACAATGGAAGAGAGAGATGGTAGGAGAGCATTAGCTAGTTCTGATCTAGAGTTTTCTCTAGGATTCATCCTCCTCTAGGGGGCTCTGCCCTACCTTATATTCCGGAGGACAAGAGGAGTACGAGGAGTTCTGAGGGTTCCCTTGGCTGACATTACAGTTTCATATCCTAATCTTCGAGTCATTAGAGGTGGACGACAACGCTGTGTCGTCCCTAGCACTGCCTGCAGGAGCCTGGAGCTGATCGTCTGAGCCTGGAAATGTCATTGTCTCTCATCTGAGTTCATCCCTCTCCATGACATCCATTGTGCGCCAAAGGGATGGGCGTTTCCTTAGGAGAGACTAATCGGGGGCCCACACACCCATATTCTTTCTCATGCAGAGGCGACGCACACACCCTTGTAGTGTTGTGTCATGCCTTGGGCGTGGCCCCCAAACTGGGAGTGGCCAACACTGCCTCGCGTGGATGGGGAGACAGAGCTCTAGCAGGGCCTAGAGCCCTGTGGCTCTGTCGGCGTGTTGTGCTCTGGGGCTTCTGTCAGAGCCTGGTGGAAGATTCCCTATGTTGCCACGGACGGACAATCGGTCGGGATGGTGCAACGAGGGTCCACCGTGGTCGGCCTTCTTTGGTTGGTCGTTGTAATCAGGGGGTTAGATAACCCTGCTATTAGGTACTTAGCAGTGATCCCCAATTAAATCACCACAGTTACTAGAGAATCAACCAAACTAACCCAAAATTAAATGAGTTGCTAGCTAATAGCCTCAAAGTAGCGGCGTCACATGGGTTCATAAAATGTGGTATACCTCATGAACAATTCTATTCCATGCTACACTAAAATGGGGGAAACTAAAGGAACAAACTAAGCTATCACATTTGCTAGAATACCAAATGCAATCTAATGAAGCAAATTGAACTAGCTACAAACTAAAAGGGTTCATAGGTAGTAACTATAAATTACCGGTACAAAGGCCCCGTTCGGCTTCTTTTTTCAACCGGAACAATGTTTTTCTCTCACAACATTTCAGTCAGAACAGTGTTTTCAGCCAATTTCAGCCAAGATTTAGCAAGCCGAACGGGCCAAAATGGATTCACCAAAATTCGGATGCATTCATGAAGAATTCTATGAAAAAAATGCTCTCTAAAATGGAGAAACAACAAGCATGATAATAAAAAAATATAACCAAGCTACAAATTTAAAGGATTGCTAGTTATCCACCTTAAAACAAGGAGATCATATCCTTTCTTCACAAACTAAGCCTATTCATAAGCATTTTGGTGAAAAAATGTCCGCAACAATGGAGAGAGACGGGGAAAGAGACTCGAGATGGGAGGGAGGAGGAAGAAGCTGGTGGGGGGTTTTATACTGTAACTAGGGCACTGTTGAGTCGATCAAAACCGACAGTGATGTAGTTTTGCCGCTGCCATGGTCAAGCCACGATCCAACATTGGTGGCATATCATAGTCGGGTTGTGACATGACCTGACAATGATATGTCACCATCAGTTCATGTGATCGACTGGAGCTGGCAATGATAGTTATCGGTCAATAGGATTACATCATTGTCTGGATTCTAGAGTTATGACTCGGCAGTGAAGCAGAATACTGTCGGCACACCCTACAGTAAGTGGCGAAGCCATGTTCATGGTTGTGGGTGCGGATGCACACGGAGATTTGAAAAACTACTATTAGAATAAAACTTTCACCATTAGTATAGCTTAAATTTTCACATCTACTAAAGAATTGCACCAACCTCTAATCTGCTCTAGCTTTGCCACTGCTTACAGTGATAAGTAAGTAAAAATTATTGGGCAGTACTAGCGCCAGGACATCTACACGGACACCTACGTCTGGATGCCCGCGGCTGCTGCACACCCACGCCAGGTGGGGACCGCCTGCATCCGCGCAACACGCTCCATCCCTTCGCTTCCCACACGCATGCATGCCATGCCCTAGCAGCTGCAGCAAGCGACTGTGGCAGGTGACTCACATTGCAACATGTATAACATCTGATCTATTTTTAAAACATTTAGATAAAACTTTGGCAACATGAGTCAAAAAAGATGAAACACTTGAAACGTGCATCTAAAACACTAGGAAAAACACCTAAAAACACTTGAAAGCCATGCAAAACATATGCAACATCTTGACAAAAGCACTTGCAAACATATGTGTGAAACATATGCAACATCCTGACAAAAAACACACTTGCAACATATGTCTAAAAAAACAAATGAAATATTTGAAATAGACGCTTGCAACATACGTGTATAGCCATTGCAATATATGCAATATCTCGATCTACTTTTGTAACATCTATATGAAACACTTGCAACATACCTCTAAAACATCTACAACAATTGAAACATACGTTTGCAACATAGGGGAGAGAGAATGAAGCCGGTCGATTCCGGCCGTCAGGGTGGGAGCCGGCGGCGTGCGAGCACCACCAGCATCGGCTGCGCTCGTGGGTGCCCCCTTAGCTTGGCTGGAGACGACCTGAGGCGTCCCGGCACCTGCGTCTAGCCGCCATCGGCAGGGGCAGCGGCGGCGGCAGCCCGCGGAGGCAACGCATCCTGACGGCGTTGGGTTGAGAAAGAGGCTGGGAGGCACTGCATGAACTGAGGGAGGAGACGACATGGATGGCTTGGGTGGAGGAAGGAAACAATGGTGGCGGCGCGGGGCTCTGCTGCTGCCAGCGAACATGAGAGAGACCTGTATATGGGGAGGGCGAGACGGAGCGGAGAGATAGAGAGGTGAGAGGCAAAGTGAAAGCCGTGTCTGAACCGACGCGAGTAGACGGACGCCCGCGCCCGAGTATTTTCGAAAATTATTTGTCCTACAGTAATAACAGGCATAATTTTATACCCATACCAACACCTCTAATAGAATTTTGGACACTCGCCTACACTTGTCGCGTGCAACATTTATGGGTCTCTGCCCTACCTTCATATGAGTCCATTACTTCTTTATTACTTAGAGCATCTCCAAGAGTTTCCTAAACATTCTCCTAATCCTTGTTTTTTAGAAAGATGAGTAAAACCCTCTCCAACAATTCCTAATATTAACTCCTAATCTTTTAGGACTTGAAAAATTCCTTCCCCTTCCGTGTAACTTTACGCGGACGAAGCCACGTGCGGAGACGCCGTTCCCTAATCTTTGAGCTCATCCATCTCGCCGTCCGCTGGTCGTCCATGGAGATCGCCAAGAACGGCATTGCGAGCGGCAGTGTCCGCGACCTGCCGCCATCGAAATGATTCAGGCACGTCGGTTCCCAGCGTGCTGCTGTGCCGGCCAAGAAGTGCGTGCCGCCGCCGCCGCAGCCGCCGGAGGAGGCAGCCGTCGCTGTTTGCCTCCCGGTGAAGAAGAGAGCAATCATGGCGCCGCGGGTGGAGGTGGCGGACGCCCTGTTCTGCCTCCCGGCGAAGAAAAGATCCATCCTGGCGCCGCCGACGGAGGACGCGACGCCCGCGTGCCTCCCCGTCAAGAAGTGCGCCTGTGCAGCGCCGGCGGATGCTGCCGTGCGGCGTGCGTTCTGGCCCAGAAGCGCCCATGCGCTCCGCCGCCCGCCGCCCGTAGGTGCGTTCGCTTCGTCCTGCGTCTCGACCAAGAAGCGCGTCCACGCGCCAGCGGCTCGGGGCAACGCCGCCGGTTCTGTTCGGCGTGCCTACCACCCAATAGGCGCGGTTGCACCGCGCCGCCAGTGGATACGGTTGCTTCTGCCTGCATCTCGGCCAAGAAGCACCCCCACTCGCCAGCTCGACGAGCGCCTGCTTGCTTGCGTGCAGGCTGCTGGTTGCCTGCTTGCCTGGTTGCTACCCGCCTGCTTGCTTGCATGGTACTGTATGCATGCTCTGTTTGCTTGCCTGGTGTCCGGCCGCTGTTGCCTGCTTGCCTGGTTGTCGACTGCTGGGCTAGGGTAACACGACGGATGCAGGCGGCGATGGCGTGGATACGCGCGGCGACGAAGAGGTTTGCGTGGAAAAAAAGAAGACTGCAGAAAAAAAACGTTAAATGGGATCAACTTTTGATTTTTTAGAAGTCAAATATTAGGAATTATTGGAGATGAACTTCTTTTTTTCTCCTAAAACCTTTTTAGGAATTGGGAAACATAGACTTTTTAGGAGAAATATTTAGGGAACTCTTGGAGATGCTCTTAGCATGAGACCCAAAGCGCGCATTCCCTGTTGAACGCAAATGACCCAAGAGTCCAAGAAAATAAGAGAAGGAAATAAAAGTACTCCAAATTAGGCCGCTCTCATCGGCACCGATCATGGAGCTCTTCCTGGGCTGACCGTTTCTTATACGTTGTGGAAACGCAAGTCTCCACTGATATAATATACGGCGGCCAGTGCCAGTGCCAGTGCCAGTTGGCCTGCTGGGGCATGATACGCTAGTCGTCTTTGTACGCGCGAAAAACGGCCAGAAAGAACGCATTTCCATCAAGAAATACTTAAATATAAAGTGCGCGGCGATCGTATCCAAAGTTCCAAACCGAAAGTCCACGTTGCAGCTAAGGCAGCGGTGGACCGGTGGTGCAAGTTGCAGAAGTGACTGAGGTTGCACGTCGAACTGCATGCGTCGAGAAGTTGGGCACCCGCGCCCTGACCTCTATATAAGGCGACACCAGCATGCCATTTCAAATCACCTCACAGCTCAAGCTCCACCGCAGCAAGGAAGCATTGTCGTCCGGAGCTGATCGACGCACTGATCATCAGTAAGTATGGCAAACTCGCCGATGATCCTGACGGTTCTGGCTCTCGGGCTGCTAGCGCTCCTCTGCGCTGTCGGTCCGGCCGCCGCGCAGAACTGCGGCTGCCAGCCAGACTTCTGCTGCAGCCAGTATGGCTACTGCGGCCAGACCAACGACTACTGTGGCCCCGGGTGCCAGTCGGGCCCCTGCACAGGGAGCGGCGGCAGCGGCAGCGGCGCGAACGTGGGCAACGTCGTCACCGACGCATTCTTCAACGGCATCACGTCCCAGGCCGGAAGTGGGTGCGAGGGCAGCAACTTCTACTCACGCGACGCGTTCCTGAACGCTGCCAATGCGTACTCCGGCTTCGCCCAAGGCGGCTCGGAGGACGATGGCAAGCGCGAGATCGCCGCCTTCTTCGCTCACGCCACACACGAAACCGGACGTAAGTTGATTGAATCGCGTGTAATCTTTCTTCCACGGGATGTACGTATATGACTGCGTATCATGCTAATCATCAATTTGGAACATAATAATTTGCACGGTCTGTTGATATCGACAGATTTCTGCTACATCAGCGAGATCAACAAGAACAACGACTACTGTGACTCGAGCAACACACAGTGGCCGTGCGCCGCGGGGCAGAAGTACTACGGACGCGGCGCGCTGCAGATCTCGTGGAACTACAACTACGGGCCGGCAGGACAGAGCATCGGCTTCGACGGGCTCGGGAACCCGGACACCGTGGCGCAGGACAATGTCATCGCGTTTAAGACGGCGCTCTGGTTCTGGATGAACAACGTGCATGGGGTGATGCCACAGGGGTTTGGCGCCACCATCAGAGCCATCAACGGCGCCCTCGAGTGCAACGGAAACAACCCCGCGCAAATGAACGCGCGGGTGGGCTACTACCAGCAGTACTGCCAGCAGCTCGGCGTCGACCCGGGGAGCAACCTCACCTGCTAGAGGTGCTGGGTTCATGCATGCGTTCTTATATAAATATAAATATACTTCAGAATTTGAGAGTGCGTAGTAGTATTAGTGATAAATAAATAATGCAGGGGCTAGCCACTTGTTTATTCGACAAGAATAATGAAGCAGTTTGTAACATGCAGATTGAAGTGAACACTTCGCAAGTATCGACGATTTCAGTGTGCGTTCTGGTAATTGTGAGCGCTCATCACAACACAGATAATGAACGAAGTTAAATTATATTAACAGCTAAATGTGTGCCCACGAAAAGAGTAAATATGGACACATATGACCTGTTTGTCTGTTTAGTATTGGGACTGAATAACGAAAAGAACTTGAAAAATAATCTCTCTCTTCCCCTATGGAACCGCTTATTAGGATCTCATGCCTCTTATAGTTTCATCTTTCATGAATATATGCAGCTCCACAGGCAGAGTTGTGTACTGCTTTCATTTCTTTAGATTAATGGGATGAGCTACCTTCCTTTTTTGAGATGAAATGGTATGAGCTACCTTCTTGAGGGTATAGAAAACATATGTCATCATGAGGTATGTTTTCATTGAAGCGTTCAACTTTTCAAGTGCATGCCAACTTAGTCGACACGCCACTCATGGCATTTAAAAAGCCTTTTGCTTCTTCGTTGTATGTGAATGGTTTGGCACACATGAAGACATGTAACATTTGTAGTAGAAAGGCTAGCCTATGTGAATGGACACATGATTAATAAAAGCATGTGCATGTGAAGGAAATGATAATTAATACATATGGCTATTACTTGACTAGTGCCTTAACTTCATTCAAGTCACAAATAACTCTTCAACGTCGAAGTCAATGTTCCTAGTATATATATGACGTCTGTGGTGAACTACACATGAAATTCTAGGAAAGGTAAATCCACGTAAACAAGATGCACAAGTAAATGCAAAATCTAAAGAGGGTTGAGAATGCAAACTTTTGTAACAATTTTTTGCTAAGGTGTCGGAAAGCTCGTGAGATCCACTCGTCCTTGTTGGAGCCCCTAGCAAGGGCCAAGCTTCTAGTCAGATAACTCAGTGAATAGGCGACATACCATCCTTATTAGCAAGTGGGTATCCGCCTTGCCTTTCCTGGAATTCTCCCCATTGTACTCACTCGGTTGAGCTTCTGCCAAGACATTGAGGGCCTCCCTCACACAACACCAACAGCAACTCCACAATAAGGTTGGAGGGTCTCAAAAAGATTAGAAGCCATAGATTGCAATGATTGGTGCATGCAAGCACACCGGCAAGCAAGATTTGTGCAAACATCGCCTTACTCTAGGCACCTAAAGTTCTACTTGTTAACAGACATAAACTAGCATTAATTGCCTTAATCTTTAAGATCACTCCTTGGATGTTGAAACTTTCAGATATGTGTGTTTACACCTTAAGAAGCTTCAAAAACACCAAATGGTTGAATGGGGCATATATATGTATATCCCCAACACTTCAAACTAGCTATCGCAAACTCTGCTATGATATATATAAGAAACAAATGTTCTCCATGGTAGAAATGGACCTCACCTTAAACTTACAATGGCGCAGATCTTCTTGACCACATAATAGGATCTTTTTGCTGCATTCATTGTGCCCTTGTTTTTTATGATGCAAATTAAAGGACCAATGCTATCATCTGGAGTCACCTGATGATTAGTTCCTTAAACTCCCCACTCCAGTACCAAACTTAAAATGTTCGATGAACCATCTAGTGCTTATTAGAGTGTTTGTTGGGGACTGGCGCTTGACTTGATCACCTTTGGACATTAATCTAGTACGCGTATCAAGTGAACTTCATCGTGGCACTAGGTCATCCGGTGAATAACAACCCACCGGGTCTTGGCCCTATTGTGGTTCTCTTCAATGGATTTGTTCATGCCTTTGGGTTAAGCATCCAATGCTAAGTAGCAAGCATCTAATGCACTTATTTTAATAGGACTCACTTCATTTCTTGTCCAAGCTTTATTTCTTCAGTGTCTTGGGTCTTTGGAAGGTCTTTAAAAGTCATCAACACATACACCTGTCTCCTTTTATATGCATTCACCCAAGATCATATATTTGCATTCATAAGAACCTTGTTTACTATTAAACAATGCTAATCCCATTGGACATGTCACACAATCACCAAAATCATAATTTCCCTTACAAGTGTACTTGGTTCAGCTCTAAGACCCAATCTTCAGTATTTTTCACCATCTTTGCAGGAAATTTCATGCCAATCTTGGGGGTTTATGTAACCTAGCATTCCTTCTCTGTTGTTTTGAGTATCTTTGCAAGTTACTACCCAATGATTTTTGGGGCCATTATCATGAGATTTTCCCTAAGTGCTCAGGACCTTCACTGATGCAAGTGAATATTGGTGACAAACTTTGCCTCCACTAATCCTAGGAGCTTCGCAATTGAGACACAAAGATCTCTCTATCATCCATATAGGAGAGCATGAACTTAGTGGCCTGGGCCCAAGCAAATAACAATTATGTAACTAATTTAATATGTAGTGACCATTTTGCTCTAATATATGCAAGAACATTAGTAGAAATGAAGTAGCTAGGAAGCGTGACATGGTAAAAGAACTTAAGGTAGTTTGTTTCCCTATAAATGGTGACCTTGTACATGAAATGTCAATTTCTGATATATTAAATAGAGTAAAACATATTGGCGGTCCCTCAACTTATCAGAGTATGTCATCTAGGTTCTCAAACTTCTAAAGTGCAGATTTGGATCCCCCTAAACTTACTAATTATAGCACATCAGGTCCAAATCTACATAACTAGCACTAAATCATCCATGTGGCATATGCTACATGTGTGGTGATATGGATCTGACATATGGGGCCCATGTGTTAATTCCATCTCTCCCCTCTCCCCAGCTTCTCCCCCCTATCCCCCTTCCACGGATGATCTTGAGCCCACACACCATCTTTCCCAAATCCAGTAGCATGACTATGCTCATCAAGAACTTGAATATTGCGGTAATTGGCATAGGCTCAATAGCTAATGCCATGGGGGATACAAGCCAAGGGTGTAGTTATGTTGGAACAGTGCATAGTAGTACTTCGGTGAACCTTGCGTCTGGCGGAGGAGAATGAAGCCAATGCAGGATGCCTCCCCAATGGTGATGGCCATGAGTAGGTTCTGGTATGAGAAAAAGGTGAGGAGAGAAGAGATATGGAGATGCCATGTGGGTCCGCATGGCTTATGCATGTCATCACACATTCACTATATAAGTACCACACATGTAGTTCAATACATATTATGAGGATTTGGACATCATGCGATACAATTAGAAAGTTTAGGGGGCACATTCTTTGTCTTAGAAGTTTTGAGACATAGATAACTTTCTCAAACAAGTTTAGTGATCACCGATGCATTTTACTCTTTCATCCGATGATTTTCTTTGTTGTCCCTCTATATTCAAGCATTTTATTGTATTATATGTTTTTACCTTTCGTATTCTAGCCGTTAACACATGGAAATATGAGAGATTTTGCAAACACAAAGAAGGCCATATATACTATTATATGGAATCGTCATGCACACATGTGTTGCTTGTTCTTTTACCATCAACTGAATAGATAAAGTAAATGAGAGGGGAAGATGGGACAATTTTCAATGTGCAACAACCAATCATGATGAAAAGTGGTTTTTGTGCAACATAGTACCTGAATGGTTGAGTGTGCAGTGAAAAACAAAATTTGTTATTCGATTGAATTATTTTATGCATATACCATCGATCACAAATCTTCCACTATTGATGAGTTTCGCTTACATTGTTACCTATGTAAGGATAATGGACCCTAGGTCTATTTACTTTGGATTTTGGTGTGTGATGACCAACACAACCCAATTGGACTAATGAATTTGCAAGTGATTGTTTTGTAGTTCAATAGGGTGCAAGACGTGACTTGAACAAAGGCGACATGATGATCCGATGATCAGCACCATAAGCAAGACCATAGAAGCACAAGAGAAGACCCAAGATATTAAGAATAGTCAAGCACGAAGATAGAAACCAAGATGGACGCAAGATCGTGAAGAAACGAGCTCATAGACGCGACCGGACGCAGCACCGGACGCTGGCGGCATAGCGACCGGACGCTTCGATCAAGAGGCTCGGCAACAGCAGACGTCAGCAGCAGCGACTGGACGCTGAACAGTAAAGTGTCCGGACACACCGATGGCACTATTCCTCATCCCAGCAACACACTCAGCACTGACTGGACGCTGGCGGCTAATCAACCGAACGTAGGAACTGCAGCGTCCGATCGAGTACAGAGAGGTTCCAGAGCGGTGAAATTGCGACCGGACGCGTCTGGTGGCATGTGACCAGACACCATCAGTGTCCGATCAGTTGATCGTGGCTCTAATGGTCGGGACGACCGGACGCGTCCGGTCAAGATGAAAGCAGTGTCCGGTTAGTAGCAGAAAAGCAGGATTTCGTCCCCAATGGCTACTTTCTC